TGGTACAAAAATAACCTGCACGCTTGAGATGACGATTATTGATTGCATTCACTCGCATCGCTCCTGATTCCATTTGAGGTAATTTTCTTCTTTCGATCTGTATTATCATGCGGTTGTTCATCTCCATTTTCACTTTTGCGTAAAGATCAACCATTTCTGATCTTCTCTTTCTAACAAAGTTGTAGGTCATTTGTTTTAAATATTATCTCAGTGATGGATATTTTGAAGGTAATAATCTTTTATTTATAGTTAGTTTAATGCATTAGAAAGGAATATTGGTTTTTGTGTCTTTATATATTATCTTGATGGATGGATTCAAATCACAAATTTCTTTACATTCCTCTTTTTGAAACATAAATTCACAAATCGCAAGATCAGTGGTAAGATTTTGTAGTTAGAGACTGTAACAAAACAACACAACAATCGGAAAACTAGCTTCTTGTTAAACTAAGGATAACCAAGGCATCTATTATATTTAACAAATGTCATTCTTGTGGTGATTTGGTTTTATTTCCAGCTTTGTGAATTCAATCTCATAGGAATATTGCCTCCCAGCCCACTTTTTCAATTTAAGGGGAAAAACAGAGGTGTGTTGCCAAAATGGTGTCCATATTTATTGTGCATGTGCAAGTTTGTTTATGCATGAATATGGGGATGAACAACTTCTTGTGCAAACTTGTTTCCTTACATCAAAATTATAGATTCAATTACCATCTCTATATATATATGTATGTTGGCTTCAAATTTCTTTTGCTATTTGTCTTGGTTCAGAAATGTTGTTTTGGAGAAAAAAATGTTCAAGTCTTCTTTCATGAAATCTTACTTTTTTGTGTTAATGTGGTGCAATGGCATAATTGGTTAAGATAGTAAGGCAAGTTCTTAGTTTTAAGTTTACTAATTTTAAGCTCTTCTTTTTGTTTTCCTAATCGAAGCCATTGGACTGATGTTGCTTTATATGTGTTGATCTAAATACGCAACTAAGGGTGACGACTCGGTCGTAACATGGCAAGGGACAAGAAGCTTACCCGGTAAGAGCGATGATAAGGATGGGGGGTCTTACCTGGTAATTAAGGGTGACGACTTTTAACCCGGGTAAGCGCTTACCAGGTAAATTATTGCATAAATACGTTTTGATGTAGTACAATTTACCCGTCAAAATAAATTATAGAGTTGACTCCTAATGGTAAGCGCTTATTGGGTAAACATTTAGGTAAACGACCCCTAAATCACAAAAAAACATGGATCTACATTTTTAAATCAAGATCGCAGTTTTGCCAATCTCATTTTTAAGTTCACTGATCTTCTATATTTTCGTAAAAAATGTTTGGTTGGATCTGCTTCTATATTCATGTTTCTTATGTTTTTTATCCTTGTCCATGGGAACTGACATTTCTGCACATAAAGATAGTGAGATTGGTTATGCAGCAAAGAAAGTAATGATGTTAATCAACTAGCTCTTCCATCTTTGTTGCATCTCAAATGCATTGCTGTCAACTTCATCTGTGGATTTAATGGTATGTGAGCCTTCTTTAGAACTAAGTCTATTGATAAAGTTGGTTAGTTGAATATCTTCACCTGTGGATTTAATGGACTGTGAGCCTTCTAGCCTTTGTTTGTGTTTGTGTTTGTGTAAATGACATCTCATGCTGTATATGCTAGCTAGCCATTTAATGGGCTGTGAGCCTTCTAGCCTTACTATCTCATACTGTATATGCTAGCTAGCCATGTAAGCAACCATCCACCGTCTCTAAAAATTTTACACAGTTATGTTTTTCTTCTTCGGAGAACCAAGAAGTATATTGTTAGAATCTCCCATCAGCTAGGTTTGGACCATTTCATATAAATATATGTTGGAACCTCTCTTCTCTCTTTAAGAGCTCTTTTGGAGAGTAATCTGATGGGGTTCTGCTTATTCTCATATATACCAATTGGTTATATATTATCCTGTTTCTTTACGATGCCCGTGCAGGTTATTGGAGCTTCATGGTTAAAAGAAACTCAGGTGTTGAATCATTGTAGTGTTGACATTAACTCGGTCAATTTCACTTTCGGGATGAATCGTTGGTTGTTATTGTTGTTTGATAATTTTTAAGGATCGATAATTATTATTTGTTGTTCAATTTTGTTGTCATAGTTTTGATGATGATGTTTATGTGGAATGAAAATATGTGCAAATAATACGGGACGTCTTTTACCTAAATAATGTATGTTGATATTTTAGGGTTGTTTATCCAAACCCTTACCCTGAAGAGTTAACACTTTAACTTAATATATCGGGTAAGAATAGTTTAACAAAAGGGTATCGTATGCAATAATTTACCTGGAGTCTTATCCGCTTAGTGAGGGGAACAACTTACCAACGTTAACACTTACCAAATAAATTGTTGAATATGATACCGTTTTGGTTGACTAAAATCTTACTTGATAAATAAGTGATAGTGTTGAATTTTACCGTACGTGTTTTACCGGGTAAGTTTTTAGATAAACAGCCCTTAATAGACCATATTAACATTCAATGTATATACCATTTTTTTCGTGATTTCAAGCCATACAAAACCTAAAATTTAACATCGAGTAAGATGGAGAATAAAACGAAACATGAAATAACATTTCATTTAAAGGGTTGTGGGTATCTTTTTCTATGCTTATCATTCTTTCTATGTAATTATTCTTATTTAAACAGCTTATGATTAATGAAAATTTATAGTTTTTATTCTCTCCAATCTATTGTCTCTTTTAACATAATTAGATTATACTGAATTGATGTTGTAATTAGATTATAGTTTGTTTTATTCGATTTGCACTATCATACAATTGTTGATTGATGTTGTAATTGTAATCATACCTTTTATTTATTGAAAAAGTATAAAGTTGCATAGACTAATTGCAAATCCTATTTTCATAACGTTTTAAAGTCTACTTAAAAAACCACCAAGCTTCAAAATCATTTTCATTCATCATTTCCGCCGCATTGCACGGGTACACAACTAGTATATATTTATATAAACAATCTTCAAATCATTAATCAAAGTACTTATGCTACCGTGCAAAGCACGGTTCCCATACTAGTTTACTCTAAATTGAATTTAACATGTATAATTTTCTTGTCTTCTAACGAGCCAATGGCCATGGGTATACACATATATTTAGGGTTGTGTATGTGTTGAGTTGGTCGGGTTGAAGACATTTGAATTATCCAACTTAATGTTTATAGTTTGAAAAATCTCAAACCAAGTAAAACTACAATCCAACCCAATCAAAACCGCACAGGTTGGATTAGGTTGGCTGGGTTGAAACTTTTGTACATCATTTTACGATCTAGCTAAGTGTCTGTGTTTAAACAAAGTAAAATCAAAATGACAACGTATAAAAACAGGCTAACAACCTTAAAAAAGCAAGTCGAAGGTTTATGCAAATAAAAAAATAAAAGCACAGTTGAAATTGTAATATAATCTACAATATAACTAACTACAGACCGGTCTAATGTCTAATATACATATGTTGATCAAGTATTTAAAAAATCATATCAAACGAATATTATGGAAAGACATTGGGTTTATCGGGTTAGGTTCAAATGACTTTGCCGATTCCAACCCAATATATGCGGCTTGATCTAATTTTATATCAATCATATAGACATGAGAATAAGACACGCCGCGTTGGAAAACCTAATGTACATACCCCAACCAGAGACCGAGATTCCTCACAAAAATGGGAACCAAGGACAGGGATCTGGAGATGGGTATCATACTCCTGCCTAGTGATGGCCAAACCGGCCCGACCCGGGACCGCCGGAGGACCGGCCCAACTCAAGAACGGTAAGGATTTGTTATAGAACCGAAATCTGGGACCGATTATGGATTTGAGGTGTTTCGCGGGATCGTGACCGACGGGACCGGATATGGACCTGCCTGGCTCGGGCACGATTTTTAAAAAATGTAGCTGTTTTTTAAATGTAGCCATTGTTTTTCAAAAAACTAGTCGTTTATCACCATTTTTTGGCCCTTTTTTGTATTTTTTGCCTTCTAAACATTATATATAAGTGTCTTGGTTGAGGGGTTTACATACCAAGTTCTCGATTCGCAAAAAACACAAAAATACATTCACAATTCTCACTTTTCTCGCTATAATAAAACGCATTTTTAAAGTGTATTTGAATAACCAATTACAAATTTTATAATTTATTAAAAATTATATATCATAAAAAAATAAACAAATATTATTTTTTACTGACCGAGACCGATTGGGACCGGGACCGGCGACTCATAACCGGTTACAACAAAGCTGAACAGACTCATCTTTTTCGACCGGGACTGGTTATGACCATATCGTTGAGGCCCGGGATCGATAAGGATCAGCCCGACCTGACTGAGGACTGGTTTTTTGCCACGACTGCTCCCGCCCATATCATGAATAATTTATTTAAAATATATATTCTATACTATATTATAAATCATTTGTCAAAAACTCTTAAAAAACATTTTTTTATGCATAAAGTACTGTTTACTAATGCATGTTACTTAAAACTTAATATTATAAGTAGATTGTGCGTAAATACAACTTATTAAAGCTTCATATCTGAATTCGTGTAACTAATTAATATAAACATAATCAAATACATGATGAACATCTCGTTTTAAATATAAAAAATCTAAAATATAATTAAGATAATTATCAAATTCTAACAAAATACTTAATTATTATCTTTATAAAATGTTATATTATTAAACCAAAAACAAATTATTTCATTATTAAACTTAAATACCAAAATATAAGAACTTTTAAAAATATTAATTTAATATTAATATCAACATTTTTTCAAAATTTTTATTTTTAAATTTATATTTTTTTAAATATAAAAAATTATCAATTTCTCAAAATCACATCAAACCGTATTATATTAAAAAAAAAAAAAACACTAAAATGAAATGTCTTTCGTTACGATTCAGAATACCCTCCGGTATATATCAAATATATTCAAATTAGGTATGGATTGGGCCGAACAACCAACACAAACACCACGACAGCACAATCTCGAGTTCTGCCCTTGGACCGAGAGGAGTTCTACAGCCGTCCGCCGTCCGCCGTCTGCGGTCGACCTGCACGGCTTCCTGCACCATCGACGCACCCTCAGCACCTACACCGTGAAGCTCAGTCCTCAAACAACAAACTCAAGTCGTAAGAACCTTTATTTTTTAGAACCTTTATTTCTTTGGGAACAAAGGACCTGCACTTGCATCTGCACCATCGACACAACCTTCATTCATCCTTATGTGATTGATGGCTGCTATTATTGCTGTTTCATTTGGTTTTTTTAAGCTTATAGATATATATCTAAATCAAGCTCTTTCCAGTTGGGTTTTATGTTCTGATTTCCATGATTAGTTCAAGGCTAATTTTTTAAAGGTTTGATTTTTATGTATAGTTGAAGAGGTGTTTGGGATTGCTTGTAAAACCAATTTTGATTCTTCGGATAAATAATTTATACCGGTGCCCAACCAGTAATAAGTTTATAATAAGTTGACAAGTGGTTTCATAGAAAAACATAATTTGTTTAAAACATAATTTGTTTCAAACAAGCAATCCCAAACACCCCGACTAGTGTTTTTTTTTTTGTTTCAAAATCGAAAATAACATTTTAGAATATGAAGGGTGTTGAAAATGAAAAACAGTATGTTTGTTTTTTTGGTTTGTAAACAAATCCCGGTTCAGGACGTGTTGGGATGTGATCATATTCCCCGGGGCGACGCTGAATTTCCTTTTAAGGTTTTTTGGGTTTCATGGGTTTGAGTTGGCCTGGTTGGTCGGTAGTTTTAGCACCTTGCATTATAAGGACCCTGTGACTTTCTCCCACCCCAATTCTTCTTGAAAAACATTGAAACTCAACGCCGTTTTTGTTCAACTGTTGCGTTGAGATGCAATATATACTTTGATAATCGGGTAAGTTTTTATTTATATCATTGCATTAACGTGATCATCATTTTATAACAATTATTTATGAACTCAGATTTGAATTCGTTTTCAAGCTACCTCCAACGAAGCTTCAAGCTTCAATTTTTTCTTTTATCTCTCTGATTTTGCTACTAAAATTTTATTATATTGTACCTACAATAAATATAAGTCGTTTATGGCTTCGATTGCAGTCTCTGTGAGCTGTAACAGGGGGTTTCCACCCACTGTTATTAACTAACGACGCCGTATACGGTGGCTAGGGGCCAAGGGTACCATTAATTTATCAATAGTGCATCCTCAATCACTCAAAAACTGGCAATCAATTTTAAACATTTATATGATGTTATTCGAAGCTTAAAAATAGGTTTACTACCTTGAACGAAGATTTACAGTCGAAGAACCCTAGGAAATTAAATCTCAGATTACAGCAACAAGAAATCAGATTTTTTTTGTATAAGCTTTAGAGTTTTGGGGTGAGATTAAGCACAATTTGTTTGGTATATTTATAGCCTCATGAATGCAACAGAAAATCGTTAAGGATTGGAAGCACGAAGGAGTATCATCGTATGGGATTTCAATTCCTTACTCGTGGTTGCTGCATAACTGATATTATTTCGATCCCGAGCAATGAATACTTCATTTTTTGTTTCTCTATTTCCTTCTTTATTCAATGTACACGTGTACATATATGTTTTCCGTTTTTTAAATATGGGTTATTACAGTTCTTGAAGGGTTTTGTGGAAGATAAAGGAAAGTGAAGAGCATAATCAAGTCAAATGGGAAGATCACCCGGTAATGGAGGACCATCTTTCCGCTTTAATCAGGCCGAGGTCACTATTCGCTCCACTTTCTCGTTCATACTCACATATGTGAATGGTTAATTTATTTATCATATTTTGCACAATTGGTTTACATGATCTTTTGTTAATCTTTTCGAAATCCCTAAAAATAATTTTTTGAAATGGTGAAAGATTGTTGGTTTTGAATGTTTTCTTTTCGCTAAAAGTCGTTCTTTAGTTGTATTGTCTGATTATCTTGAATGCTAATCATTAATGGTTGTCCGATTATCTTGATCAGGTAACAGTAATGGTGGGATTTCCGAAGTTATTGTTATTATTGCCCTATCTAATTCGTCCTAAAGACGGAAAACATAATGTTTGTCTGATCGTATGTTTTCATTATAGTAACATCAATCAACACTTTTAAACGATTATTTATTTGGCCATCCTCATGTTCAAGATGATAGTATATTTCGTCTTCAATGCCAAAAGGGCATCAAAACTCGTGTGAATTCTTGGATTTTCTGTCAAAACTTGATGGATGTATGAAATTTCATGGAAAGTATTAGAGACTTAAATGTCGCGGTTTTTGATTTGTAACAAAATGCAAACAAATATTTAAAATCAAGAAGAGTGCACTTTTTTTCTTTTTATGAAAAAGGGGGAGGTTGTTCCATTATGATGGATGTTTTTCTTTCTCTTAACCACTTTAAGGGTCAATGCATGTACACCTCACAAGGAGCCCTTCTAGTGTATCTTTGCTTGGAGTTGGTGCACTTGTAATCCCATACGGCATCGCTAAAGGGTTATAGATTGGTGATTAGAACGTGGATTTGTTACATTGCATCTTAGGACTATATGTGGCATCACCAGTGATGTGGGGGAGAGAGAGATAGAGGGGGAGCTAGCTGCTCATCAATGTTTCATATTGCGTCACACATCTTCATTAAATCAACTGAGTATGTGTTGTCACCAAACTCTAGAATGCCATACATTCTTTTAAACTTTAGGGATGCAACATACATAGTTTTCTAAGTGGAATTGGTCAAGAAAATCAGCCATTGAAGAATTTCTAATGGTCTGATGTAGTTTTTGTTCTTGCTCCCTCTATAAGCATGAAGCAAACCTTAGTTATTGCCTTGTCTAGAAAAATTGATTGCTAGTAGTAGTGGATTATAAGTCCTCACTTGTATATACACACACTCATGATGTTATGGAGCTTTTCACATAACCAGAGAGTTATTGTGCCGGAAAACCTTAACACGTCTATGTACACCAACTCTGCCACCACAAACTTCAGTCTTTAGCTTAGGTTCAAGAATACAAGGCACAGAAGAAGTAAAACAAATGCATGTTTAAGGCCCCTAATTTTTTTCCAATGCGTTAGGACGATGGAGCGTGAGCACGTATATCTCCTCTTCTGCATGTGGGTCCGTCCTGGACTGATGTGAGAACTTTGTGGAGGGACAACAAGAAATAATCTAAAGAATTTTGCTTGGGTAAAATAATATACGTTTAAGGGCCATGAAACACCTGTATTTGAGATCTTGGATTTTTTGGTGAGCACTTACCACAAAGCTTCATTGAAATTATTACAGATAGAAACATCTGAAGCAAGCCATTTGAAGAATTCTCGATTGAAAAATCTGAAGCAGCTCAACCCCAACTGGGCTCAGCTTTGCCAAGTACGTTATCGTTACTTTCTTTACACTTACCATGCACACACCTTAGCTTTTGGCTTAAGCTGTCTCATGAACTTGGTTGTCTGCAGAAATTAGGTTATGGGTCTGAACTATCCTCAAAGAAATCAGGAAAAGAGATTCAAGAAACCATATTAGGTTTGTGAATTTTCTTATCTCTTACTGTAATTTTGTTGCCCAATCGTCTTTATTTGTCAAACTGTAGTTATTTCACATGAATTATGCACAATTACAGGCATTGTTTATTCATTTGTTTTTTTGAGAGAAGTTTCTTGCAAATGGTTGCAATTCATTTAAATGTTGAAGTTAAATGACCCATTTTTTCTTGAGAAGGGCAAAAATATCTTTATATAAATATCATTTGGCCCATTTACTTTTTGATTATGAAAGAATGTGCAAAATTTTGTAGGAAAGCGCAAAGAGAGGTCCGATAAGGATGAGGCCAATGAAAATGAGATGAATGCTCTCACTCCTACCTCATCAGATTCAAGGTACACCATCTTATTTTTAAGCCGTCTCTTTTTTTGTACACACACCAATACATAGGTACACTCACATAGTCACATATAGGGTAATGAGATTTCGTAAACATTCTTGTGTTTAAGGGGTTCATCAGTAATTTACTCTTTTTATAGTTTAAATTTTCAACATTTCTATTTTCTTTGTGGTGTGAAGTTTGAGGGGTGTGAGGAAAATGAAGATGTGATTTTGGTTCTGATTAAAATACAAGAATTGAGATGGGGCAACCAAAATGAAAAGGAGACAATGGGTTTACCGTTGGTGGACCATTTCTTTTATTTTTCAACTTCCAAACTTCATGGTCCATGTTTTCTTATTGATATGTTATTGTTATGCAATTTAACTAAGTAGCAAGTTGATAGTATTACAGATGCGATCGCCATGGATTGCGAAATGGTTGGAGTCAGCCCTCTAGGAAACAAAAGCGCTCTTGGAAGAGTGACCTTGGTAATTTACGTTCGTATTGGTTTATATGTAATCATCCTCTTTTGGGTGATACTGCTTTAGAACATCGTCGTTTGTAGTTTTCTCATTGGTTCAAAGTCTACCCTAAAAAACACTCGAGTCAACTTAGCCAGCTAGTCCATCAACAAAGTGGTTGATGGATGGAAAAGGGGTGCACCCACCAAGCTGTTTGATTAATCCATCATCAGAAGTGACATGCTAAAATGGAGATACATCAGTTACGCTGTTGTGTATGTTTTACTGAACACCATTCGGTTCTTGATAGGTAAATACGTGGGGGAACGTTATATATGACGAGCATGTTCGTCCAGTTGAACATGTGGTTGACTTTCGTACAAAAATAAGTGGCATCCGACCCCGTGACTTGAAAAAAGGTTTCAATTTTTTGTCTTCTATTGTATTCTTTCTGCATATTTTGTGTTCTTTATCAAGTCTACTTTTAAAACACTAATTATTGTCCTTGTACATTCTAGCTAATTTTGGGATTCGCAGTTGCAGTTACTTTTATTTACATGAATTTATAATCTTATCTTCAGCAAAGGATTTCCGTGTTGTTCAGAAGGAAGTGGCGGAATTGCTCAAAGGGAAGATTCTTGTGGGCCACGCATTGCGTAATGATCTTAAGGTAAGTATGCAAACTCCTATCTAAAGGGGCATACACTGAGGTCAACATAATTATTATGAAAGAACAATTGAAAGCTTATCAAACTATTCTTGAAATATTCTTGCAGCCATCGTTCTTAGATATTAAACCAAATCGCATTTCTCTGTTACATCTCTTTTGATAAATTCCAGTCATTTGGCCATGTAGCATATAGCCTAGACATGAGAATATTCAAAGCGAACTTGTGCAGAAATATTAATTTTTTTTACTTTTTCTACAGGCCTTGTTATTAAGTCACCCAAAGAAGGATATACGTGATACTGCTGAGTATCAACCGTTTCTGAAGTATTTCTTCTAAACCTCATTCTAATTGTTTCATTCACTGTTTGCTAATATTTATATGAAATATGGGAAAATAGTTTGAGGCGTCTCACAAGATAAATAGTCCTTGTTTAAGTCTTCTCCGACACACTAAACACTCATAAAGTCCACCTGTGGGCTCTGTGTGTCTTATTAGTTAGACCGCATCTTCCACGAGCAATATATATCTTGTGCAATACTTCAAGAACTACTACCCCTAAACGTTTAATGCTTTTCCTTAAATCCCTTGGCGTTATACAGGCCTACAGGGAACACATTCATATACTTCATATGTTCCAATATGTTAATGTAATGTGCTAATTTAAATGCCCTCATCTATCTTTCTGCATCAATGAAGGGAATGGGCAAATGCATAAAAATGTAATTTGCTTTAGCATCTTTCTGCATCAATGAAGGGAATGGGCAAATGCATNGGAATGGGCAAATGCATAAAAATGTAATTTGCTTTAGCATCTTTCTGCATCAATGAAGGGAATGGGCAAATGCATAAAAATGTAATTTGCTTTAGTATCTTTCTGCATCAATGATGGGAATGGGCAAATGCATAAAAATGTAATTTGCTTTAGTTTCTATCTTGTTTGACAACTTTTTTTGTTAATTAGTGCAATAAACGTCCATTCCTTCATATATTCCTAGCTATTTTAATTTATTCAGTAACATGGGATCGCTTGATTTTGATGTGACATGATTCCACATAATAAAAAATTACAATATAACTTGACAACCTGGCACCCGCACCTGTCATCAATAGTTACAAGCTCTAAGTCAAAATGGGCACGAAATACGAAGACACAAACTTTCCTTACACTAAATGAGAAAAAATTTGTTATAATAAATAGGAAGTAAGGCCAACTTTGTTTTGCATTTTTGGCCTTTTAACCACAAGGCTAAAAATGAGACATAATTCTATAATATTTAAAAAAATTGGCTTATAATTATGTTCTTAAATCAGTATGCCAAAGTCTTTATCCACTAAGATGGGGATTTCTTATCTTACGAATCTTGTACCATCCATATGTGACCTTAACAGAAATGTATAATTTTTTCATCAATGATGATGATAATGCAGAGAAGGGCGTAGCAAGGCACTTCGACATCTTGCAGCCGAAGTCCTTAGCGTCAAGATTCAAAGCGGCGAGCATTGCCCTGTGAGTTCCATTTCTTAGTCTACAATTTCCCATTTGAGGAATTCCAAGAAATCATTAGTTTTTTTTAAAGTGAAGCACCTTTAGAAGAAAAAAATGTGGTAAACATACTCTGATATGCATGTTGTTTACAGATAGAAGATGCTCGTGCTGCCATGATGCTTTATATGAAGAAAAAGCGGGAATGGGAAAAGAATGTTAAGGATATCGTCAAGATGAAACTAAAGCAGAAGAAGCGTAAACCTAAAAAAAGAAAGAAAGAAGGTTCACTTGCATCTTAGAATCATCATTTTTTTCATTGAACAGAACTTTGAAGCTTAAACTTATTGTGGTGGGTGGTGCCATCATGCGGTGGTAACCGGTGGCATTTTCGAAATGAAACAGTCTAATCATTTACTATGAGGTGTCTCTAAAAGGCTCTTTTGGTCCAAAATTTTGCTTTTGTTTCGGTTGTGTTTTTGTGTTCATGGAAAATATTAGGAGTTGAGGATATGGTTGCCAGTGTGTGTATTCATGGAAAATATTAGGAGTTGAGGATATGGTTGTCAGGTTACAGGAGGAGAAAAATATGCCTCAAGAACCTTTTGGTTTTTGGAAGTCCCTTTGTAGTTTTTATGGTAATGGTTGTATTTATAAGAATTGTAGTGTTTCACTATGCAAGTTAATGTCTTAGGCTTCTCTCTTGCGGGTTGCTTGGAAGTGGCTTAATAGGATTTACGAATGTATGGAAAATATCAGGAGTTAGGGGCTGTTTGTTTCCCTCTTAATGGTGACATTAAGAGGGAGCCTCTTAATCGCTAAGAGACAGAAGCTGTTTGGCAAAAAAATAACATCTTAATGGTTACAATATCCTCTTAACCATTTTGCACCTAGAGCTCCACTCAACCATTCAGATGTTGGTTTTTCCAACTTTACCCTCTCAACCCGTCTTCCGCCCTTCCTTCGTCGCATCCCCCTCCATGGTCGCATCCCCCTCCATGTTCGTTCTTCACATCGCATCCCCCTCCATGTTCGTTCTTCACATCGCATCCCCCTCCATGGTCGCCGTCTTCCCCCCCTCCTTCGTCGGTTCCATGGTCGCCGTCTTCCCCCTCCCATCGTCGGTCTTCCATTCGCCGGCCGTCTCCCCACCCCCCACGATCGTCGCCACCCCTACTGCTTCCCGCCGTTCTCTCCTCCCACGCGAGATCCTCGTTCCTCGCTCTCTCCGCCTCTGCTCAGGTCATCGATTTTGTGATTCAGATATAAACCCTAATGATTTTGTGCCTTCAACTTCGAAGCCTTCAAAGTAGTTTGTAGTTTGCTAGATTTGCCCTAATTTTAGTGTTGGTTTTCAGTTTGTAGTTTGTTTGATTTGCCCTAATTTTACTGTTTTACTGATTTTGAGGTTTTGCCCTTGTCAGGGTTAAAATGGTAATTTATTGTCATTCAGATTACAGTTACCAAACAACATTATTTCATTCAGCACTTAACCATTCTGGCCCTCTTAACCATTCTGACCACTTAACCATTCTGTACCAAATCATTCAGCAACCATCAAACAGCCCCTTAGACTCGTTAAGAAGAAAACGCCCCTTTATTCTAACTAGGACCAAAATGCATTCTCGAGTCATTAAGGACCACTAAAGACTTGTAATGCTTCATTTAAATTCATTAAGGTCTAATTAGACTCATTATTACCCACACTTATAGTCCTTAAAGAGAATAATGCCTATTATGCTCACTTGGAGTCTTAGGGGGCCGTTTACCTAAACACTTACCCGGTAAGCGTTTACCGGGTAAAATTCAACATTATCGTTTACTTACCTGGTAAGATTTGAGTATGACAAAACAACATTGTATGTAATAACTTATCCGGTAAGCGCTAACCGTGGTAAGAGTCGTCGTCATCACTTACCGGGTAAGACTCGGTTCTTGTCTTCGCTCTTACCGGGTAAGATTCTTGGTGCTTGTTGTATTCATCCGATAAGGTAATGTGACTTGACAAGCGCTTACCCATGTAAGCATTTGGTAAACGACTCCTTAGACTCCTTAAAAAGAATAACATCCATTATATCGGAACGAGCCATTTAGGGACAATGAAGACCTGTTATACTTCAATGACTCATGAAAATACCTTATACTTCAATGAGACATGAAAATACCTTATACTTGGACCTTGAAGTCCTACATATTCAAATGAAAAATGAAGAACCCATCTCAAATTGCAGATTCAAAAACTCGAATCACCACTTCATCTTCTTTCCAATCCTAATCTCTAATCAAAATTGCCTTTCCAACCCTAACCGAAACCCTCTTTTCATTTCTGTTCTCCGTTCAACTCTCACCAAACCTAATTGAAACCCTCACCTCTCTCAACTTTGAACTTGGGTTTTTGATATATTGTTGGATTTAGGGATTTGAACTTGGTTTTTTGACTAAGAACTTGGATTGGTGGATTCCCACAATTATCTTTATGGTTCAGAACTTGAGATTGTTCATTGATTCCCACATGTTCATATTTTTCCTTGTGGATTCCCACAGGTTCATATTCTTGTTTAATCTTATGGATTCCAGTTCATATTTCTTTCTTGTTAATTTTTATGGATTTCCATAAGTTTATATTTTCCCTTATAGATTCCGACAAGTCTTCCTTGTTTGTTTATGTTGAAGTTTATCTGATGAACTGATGGGTAAAACAGTCATTTATATCATTCAGGCGGTTGATACCCGAAAAAAGTAAACAATAATAGAATTTTTTTTATCTAGATAGACAAATTTATCCATACATGATTTAATAGAAAATTTAGTGAACAACCCCTTGGACTTGTAAAGTAGAAAAGACCTACTATACCTATTGAGAACAAAATTACGAACAATTATGACACATTATTACCTTAGATCAAATAAGGTTAAATGAGACTAATTATGACCCACTTAGTTTCATTTTGACCCATTTAAACTCATTAAGAATAATAAGGCCCATTGAACCCACTTAGACTCATTACGACCCATCTACTCTACTATGACCCACTTAGACTTGTTATGGTGAATAAAACCAATTAAATATATATAGACCAAAAATGACCTATTAACGAGTCAGTAAGGACCGCTAAGACCCTGTAAACTATAATTAGACCCGTTAAGGTCTAATCATTCTCATTATGACCCATTTAGACTCGTTAAGAAGATTGGGTTTCATTATACCCACTTACACCAAAAGGACCCATTAACGACCCATTAAGGATCACTAAGACTTTCACATAAGGAGTGCAAGCCTTTGGTTGATAAATTGAGTCGTAGACTCATGAATTGGAAGAACCGCAGTCTATCCCATGCAGGACGGGTTCAACTTGTTAACTCAGTTCTTTCCTCCATGCAAATTTATTTTGCATCGGTCTTTAGTCTCCCAAAAGCTATGATCCTTGAAATCGAAAAGTTGATTCAGGGATTTCTTTGGTGTCAAGGGAGTTCAGAGCTAGGAAAACAAGGGTGGCTTGGGAAGTTGTGTGTAGGCAAAAAAATGAAGGAGGATTAAGGGTGAAAAGCTTAGTTCTTTGGAATAAAGCATTTGTTACTTCACATTCATGGATCCTTATCACAAGGCGAGAATCCCTTTGGGTCCACTGGATGCACACTTATCGTATAAAGGGACATAACATACAGGGCATCCAGATTCCTACAAAAGCAACGTGGGGCTAGCGCAAGCTTCTCAAATTCGAGAGAGTGTTCGGATGCATATCATACACGATATAGGAGATGGGTGTGGAACAAATGCTTGGGTTAATACCTAGCATAGGTAGGTCCGCTTTGTAAACCATTTACGAGCTATCGTATCTCTAAAACGGTTATCCTCAACATACTACGGTGCATGAATTACTTAATTGTTCAAGAGTTTGCTTGGTCGGAGGAATGAGCAAGTCATGTTTCATATATTCAGTCTTTGCCTCTTCTTACTCTTGATGACGCCAAAACAGATTTTATCTTACGGGTTGAAAAGTAAGGTGGAAATATTCCGTTTTCTGTTTCTAGTGCGTGTGGATGTATTCGAAATGAGGTGGAACCTATTAACTTGACAAGGAGCGTGTGCTTTAATCAAGGGATTCCAAAGCATGCCTTAACGTTGTGGGTCATTATATGGCATAGGTTGCCGACTCAGTTTGCTATAATGAGGTGGAATGAGCAGGTCTTGGACCAAAAGTGTCTTTTGTGTGGCTTACAACCTGATAGTCATTCCCATATCTTTTTTGGATGTCTGTATGCTTCAGCTCTTTGGGACCGTCTCAAGCCATTGGCTCTCATTGCCGATATCCTAAATACGTAGGTTGGTATCATATATTATTTCTCTCCCATTGTTAATCTTAAAATGGCTAAACATGTTATCCAAAAGCTTGTTTTTGCAGCTGTGGTTTACTATATTTGGCAGGAAAGAAACACGATAATCTTCGAACAAACAACGTGTTCGGTGGAAGAGCTTGAGAAGAAGATAGTAGACACTATTCAAACAAGGATGCTGTCATTACAGTTCAGATGTAATCCAATGACTGTCATGCTCATGGAGAGATGGAAGCTGCTGAGGGTACGGGAAGAAATGCAGATGATTCTTCATGGAGACTGAAGACTCAAGATGGAAGATCCCTGGTGAGACTGTATGAGATAGCCTAGAGTTAGTCTAGATATTCTTTGTAATGCTTTTCCTTTGTCTTTGATTAGCTACTGGTTAGATGTTATGGTATGGAGGGTGTTCCATTCACTTGTTACTCTAATATATAGTTAAGCACCCCATTAGTAACCCTAGGGCCCGTCCTAGTGGTGAACGTGGGCATGCCTCAATATAGTACCTCCATTAGCTGTAATACTTTAATGTTTTAATGAAGTTTTCCAGCAGTGCCGCCCGCTTTTCGTAAAAAACTATTAAGGACCACAAAGACTCATTATACCTTAATTAGATCCATTTCGGTCCAAATAGACATATTATAACCTACAAAGTCCCTTCATGACCCATTTAGATTCATTAAGAAGAGAATAAGACACATTATACACACTTACTCCAATTAAGGAACCCTAATATACCGAAATTATATCCATTTAGGTCTAAATAGACACATTATGACCCACTTAGTCCATTTATGACCCATTTAGACTCATTAAGGAGAATAAGACACATTTTTCACACTTGCTCTAAAATGACCCATTAAGGACCCCTAAGACCCATTATACCTCAAATAAATTCATTAAAGTCTAAGTAGACACATTATGACCCACTTAGTCCCTTTATGACCCATTTAGACTCATTAAGGAGAATAATACCCATTATAGTCACTTATTCTGTAACAACCCATTGAAGACCATTAGGATCCAAATATTCCTCAATTAGACCCATTTAGGTTTAATTAGACACATTGTGACCTACTGCTCGTCGATTTATTCAACCTTAGATTTTAACACAAAAATAGAACTCGACGCAAGTATACATCTCGAACTACTGTCGTCTCGTAACAAGTAATAATGGTAAAATACTAGATATCGTTCCCATAGAGATAGCTTGTAAAGTTCTTTCAAAAGTCCAGTTTATTAAAATTAATTTCAGATGGCGAAACGAGAGATTTGATTTATCTAAAATGGGGAGGTTTGATTAACAACTAAGAAAAATAGCAGTC